AAAGAGAAACGAGCGAGGGTTTGTGGGTGTGGATGGGTTGCTGGATATGATGGAATGGGCACGAGATCAGTGACGGGACATGGGCCGACGACTTCTAGAACGATGCGAAGACAACAGGGTTCCCTTCTCCTTCCCCCCCTCTTTACTCCCTTTCGCCTTACTTAATTTTCGGTTCGCTGGCTCCCCCGGGCCTTTTGTTTGCTTCTCTTCTCTCCTAGATCATGTACTTGGCTTCCATGACAGATTAATCGACGGGTTTTATATTTTCGCCACGTTCGTTCCTGCGCTGGTGACGAGAGATGCAGTGAGAATTGGAAGAGGGTGCCATTGTGTTTGAGATATCGATCCATGTTTTAGAATTACTTACTATATCTTTTCTCGAATACTATACCTTTGTGCTTGGACCGTTTGAGAGAGAGGAGAAACTCAATACGAAAACCAATCGGAACCCATTACGAGAATGAAAGAGGAATAGGTGTCTGCGGATCAGTGTGTGAAAGGAAGCCTATAGACTGAAAGGAGAATCAGGTGCGAAATGATGAGAAATTGGGGAATAGATTCGGGGGAATAGATAAAGTTAGTATGGGGCTGAAAGGGTTCAGAGAAAGGAAAACGACCTGGAAAGGGGAAAGATGGAGAGGGTGGAAAAACGCCGCGAAACCCCTTGCAATGCTTGCAACATGCACCACCACCAGCCCGACCGTCACGCCGTTATCATCCAATTCCGAAAAACACCGAAACACCAGACATTGCTTAGGAAGAAGAGATGGCGAACGAGATGAGGACAGATGAATGAATAAGATGGCCAGATTCCCCCTGTTCATCCCAGCCACATCTAGACAACACATGTCAGACATAAGGAAAACCGACTCAGCTTTCCAGCTTTCGGGGATATCGCATCACGATCAACTCTGCATCGAGAGCGGCTGCGCCTGAACCAGCTGCCCCAACTCGATCTCCTGTCTCCTCTCCTCCCTACTCTTCGCTCTCATCGTCTCCATGCTCGGCGTCCCTCTCGTATCGCTGCGGCCCCTGTTATGACTCCCCCGTTCCCCATACCGATGCGCGATAGGAGCGGGAACGGGAGCCGGGTTCGGTGCCGATGCCGGCGGATGCTGACTATTTCTCATAGCCGCGGCGTAGCGCTCGTGGACTGTTCTTGAAAAGCGGATTCTGTGGTGATCGGAGCGGTTGACGTCGTTGACGGCGTTGCGCATGCGGCGGGCATTGGGGGAGTCCTGCTCCGGATCCGAGTCTTCAGGGAGGTCAATGCGAAACGTATTTTGGGAGGCGTCTGGGCTGGGGCCGGAGTCGTTTTTCATGAGGAGCATGGCCATTTGCTGGTTGACCATGTCGTCTTCAGTCAGCGGGACGCCGGGGGTGTGGTTGTGGGAGAAGTAGCCGTCCATAGGGGGAGAGACGCCGCGGTTGTTGGCGGAGGATTTGACGGAGGGAAACATGTTGGCGATCCAGTTGTCGTAGTAGCTGCTGCCTTGCCACATGTTTTGGCTGCGGGAATTGAGATGGCGGCGGAGACGGGAGATGCGCCGGTTGGTGTAGATGAGGAGGAGGCTGTAGATGAGGGTCATGCCGCCGGAGAGGACGGTCATGGCGATGGCGGCGGCGTTCCATGCGAAATTCTTGTGCGCGATGCAGTTGTATAATACAGTAAGGAGACCGAGGGCCGATGAGGCTAGGGACGGACTGCAGGATCATTAGCCTTGATGTGGTTGCTGAGAGCATGGAGAGGTCATGGCGCACAGGAAGATGGATTCGGCCTGGAAGATCAGGGACTTGCACGCGAAACAGAGGAGAGCGGTAAAGGCATATCCGGCGACAAGCAATGCGACGAGGAATATGGTAAGTCCGGCTTTGTTGATGCGCAGTTCTGTGCTTTCATCGTATAACGACGGCGCGATGAGGTACCTGAAGTTGGTCAGCGCGTCCCGTCGTTAACGTTAGGTTGACACGGCGTTTTGGATTCGACTCACCCGCCGAGTATCATCCACGATGCCAGCAGAGAGACGAGCTTCCAATACCACTGTCCACACGTCAACATGATTCCGTCGTCGTCGCTCGTTCAAACGTACCTGCACCAGTTCGCGCTCATGCACCAGGTCGCTGGCCGTCATGTAGTTTGACTCGCGACGCGGCATCCCGGCGGCTTCCCGGAGCGTGTCGAGTGTTTGTCTCGTCTTCCCGTCGCCAGACCGAGTCGCTCGCTCTCGTCGCTAGAAGCTTCGATGTGTAGCCTCATGCAGTCGCAGGAATGGGATGGGAAGTGCAGTGTAGGGCGGGCGCGGTTGTGGCGGGAGATGGATGCGGGTGAGGCCTCGCTGAGGCTGAGCAAGCGCGGCGAGATGTCTGGCTGATGGCTGCGCGATTCGCGAATTGCGTATGCAGGCAGGCGAAGTTCAAGGGACGGAAGGGAGTGGGCTGTTCGGACGGGTAACGTTATGGACGGGTATGTGGATGTGGATAAGTAGGAGGGTATCAGGCAGGCCAGGACTTGAGACGGGGAGCGATCCTTTGGGCGGTGGTTTGGCAGAAGGATGCGATGTTGCAACGAGCGAAAGGCCCACGAGTGGACGGAGAGGCTTGGGGCAGTCGAGGTGGCAGTGAGCAGTGAGTGGACAGCGGGGGAGGGCGAGGCTGAGAGGGCGGGCGAGAGATACGACGGGCGCACGAGCGGGCTCAGCATTCGAGATCAGAGAGAGAGCTGGCCGCGATTTGTCTGGCAGTGTGAGTGCATTCGAGCCCGGTGAGAGGTGATTTCACAGATCCTTCAGGATTGCGGTGTGCAGCTCGAGATTAATGAGTGAGATGATGGCGGGCAGACTGGGCTCTTGAGTGAGTGTGATGAGTGTGATGAGTGACATTGATATTTTCCCCAGCCAGCGAAAGGGCCGGCGCCAGGCAGCGGAAGGCGGAAGGCGGAAGGCGGAAGGCGGAAGGGCGGGCGCGCAACGGCTCGAGGACGCGCGGGTCCTTTGCGACGACGGGGCCTTGTGGCATTCATTGCGCAGTCGAGAGTCGAGAGTCGAGAGTCCGTGGGGGTGGAGTGGCAGTGGCCGATGTGTACAGGCCGATATGTACAAGCCGATACGATACATGCAAGAGTGTCCCGCTGCACAACACAGCCTGCGGTCCATCACCTTGGCCATCACCTTGGATCACCTTGGCCATCACCTTGGCGGGGCGCCATGTGCTTGACCAGCCATCTGGGTCCCCTTTGCTATTCTGGCAGCCCATGCGACCGGGCCCATAGTTGTCTCTACAATCGACCTCTTGGCCTTGATCCATCCATCGCCAGCTCTCCACTCTCCATCTGTCGTGTCTCGTCGTAGCCCCCGTCTTGCCCACCAATACCATCCCTCCCTCCCTTCTCCCTCCCTCCCTCTCTCCTCACGAGTCGGACGTCCGCTCTTCCGGCCAGTCGACCATCTAGTGCCTGATGAACTTAGGGCGGTGGTGGTAGTTAGCTCCAGACCAAACGCGCAGATGACGAAACCAACCAGGACATCACAACCACCAAGTCGACCAGTGAGACGGCGCCCGATGGAGAGAGAGCACGGCAGTTTCGGTTTGGCCACCCACGAGGCTGGTGTCGTATTTACGTTGCGAGTGCGTCGCGTGCTGTACGTAGCAACGCTATTTCGAACGCCCTCTCCCTCTCCCCCATCCCTCCGCCCTGCCTCGCATCGCAGCGTCGCCGCCGCCTCTCTCCCACCCACCAGCCCAGACGCTATTTCCAGCCCCCGACACAAACACCAAACCCCAAGCCGCCGCAATGGCCGCCCTCATCCTGACCTGCGCCGCCCTCCTCTCCTCCAAGCTCTCCCGCCGCCGCAAGGCCAAGAAACAAGCAAAGCTCGACTACGAGCAGAACTTCGAGTCCCTCAAAGAGGAAAACTTGAAGCGCGTCGAGTACATCCGACGCCGCTCTTCCGTCCTCGACAACGGAACCGTTTGCGGCAACGCGCCCAATGGGCTCGAGACGCTTCCGATGGTGCCCAGTTCGCCGCCGCCGGGGTACGACGATGTTGCTGTTGTTGATGCGGTGCCTGCTGTCCAGAAGCCGCGGCGGAGGACGGCGCATTTGTTTGCGGGTGTGGGGAATGGGGCTGGGGCGCCGGGGATGGAGTAGGGGTGGTTTGGGGCAGCGTGATGGGGAAGCGTGGTGGTCAGGACAATGGTGTTGAGGTTTGGATGTAATGGTGACATCACTTGGGAGAACTGTCGGCGCTGTCAATTTGGACGTGCAGTTCGCATCACGACAGTCGATGGAGTAGTATAGCCAGGAACTGCGTTGGAAGATTATTTGGGACTGGAAATGGCGTTCGAGGGCTGCGTTTATGCTGCGTATGGTCTGGGAGATAGCAAGGCGTTGTTGAATCACGCACTTTGGACGACGATTCTCGGACGTGTTTGCGCCACCACAATTGCTGAGAACGTCGCATACTATCACACTCAAACGAATCAATCGAAGCGAATATCAGTTTCATTCAGAAAAGCGTATTACGTGCAAGTCCGATGAGAAATGGCCACGACGTGGTGTTGTGGTGTTTGTTGGAAACACATGAGGTTGCTCTTGGTTGTTTCATTTGCATTTCCAGACCAAAAGCATCAAAAATCGGTGATAAGCTCAAAGGCTCGTAAAAATAACGAAATTTATATCATTCGATAGCGACAAGTCATCTGGACCATACAAAAGGCAACATCAAACAGTTTTTGCATGGGAATGGCAGACAAACGCCTCCGCAGAGCGTGATCATGGGCTTGTTCCAGGCCATCTCGCTAAAACTTCGATGAAGCACACCAGCACCTGAGCGCAAGGCGACCGTCGGGACAACTCAGCAACAAAACATGCTGCCCAGACCTACACCGTCCTAACATCATGCAAAAGAACAGCAGCCACAGAAGAAAGGAGAAAGAAAAGGTCCCATGCATACACGAGCAAAAAGTTCAAAACAGAATGAGACTTGCTAGTGTGTACATGTTGCCAACTCCCAGAATTGAACTGAGGATCTTCGCATTAACTCGATCGAGTACAAGTGCGACGCGTTACCACTGCGCCAAGCTGGCTGCTTGGATTGTAGCAAGTTATGTAAAATTTTCATCTTGGTGTATATATTCAGCAAACTCACTAGGTCACTGGCTGTGTATTGCCACCTGGAGGGCCATCAACTTGACATTCGCGGCGGTCGACGCACGTCGCGACCGGCTTTGCGTCGCTGGACTCGCTCCCAGCTTTTTCGACGAGGCCGCTCGGATAGCCTCGATCGGGTCTTGTACCTATCTAGATAGGACGATGCGCTTCTGGCTTGCTTCACGTGCCATCGGCGTTGCTGTTGACGCGGTGCGTACGACTTTATGGACTGTAATGGGAGTTCGTCCAAGCAAAAGTTTGGTGTTCTGCCATTCCAGAGCTCGCATCCCCGGCAAAACCTCGTCCGGCTGTCCCAACCACGGCTCCACCACAACTCCACACCCCCACGCATTCCTCGACGGATGGATGTTAATGAGTCAGAAAGCAAAAGAGAATGAACCAAAATATAATGCGCCGCTCGGGAATCGAACCCGAGGCTCAAGCTTGCTGCCAGATCGGCTCCTTGATGGAAGGCTTGAATGTTACCATTACACCAGCGGCGCTTGCTGGGATTGATGGAAATAGCTCTAGTACTTTAGTTTATAATCAAACAGCTGGTAGCTGCCCTAGATCTGACAAAGGAGGGTGATGGAACATGCAGCACTTCGATAGTTGTCGTGACTTGCTGTGAATGTGTTTCGCAGGACTCAAAAGAAAGCCCCTGAGATGCTTTTCAGGAGGTTGGAGCGAGTCAGCACCAGCTATTCGTGCTGTGAAATCGCTTTGACGGCCTGGCGGGTATTTGTCGGACACCATCCGCTGCGTGAGACTCGTCGACTCTGGCGTTCGAGGCTTCGTGTTGTTGACCTCGGATCCACGACGACACCGCGAACCCAACAGCTGCGGCGACGCGGAGCAGCAAAGATGCACCACCGACGTAAAGCGCGCTTTCATGCCGTCGACGCCTCGATACGAAGACGCGCCATCCCGTGACCCGCATCATAGACTCGTCCGCACACAAGCAGACAGCCTGATCGAGACGTCAACGACTTCGCCCCGCCAACGCGATGCAGCCAAACGCCCACTTGGCCAGTCCCGTACCTGCAGCATGTGGCCCGCCATCAGCGCTCGATCGGCCAAGATCAGCTCGAGCACCAGGCCACCAACTGATTGATGAGAGAGCGGTCTCGCTGGCTGACAGACGTCGTCGCCGCCAGATTGCCGAGTTGAGCTGTGGAGGGGGGAACGAGGGACGGACGGGAGAAAAGACGATCAGGTGGCGGATTTGCATGGCCAACGGCGGGAGGGAGATGCGCATTCTGGGACCGCGCTTTCCTCTTTCCCATCAGTCTACTCCACATGCTTCGGCTGCTCCCTAGCTTTAGCCGCTGTTTATTTTCCCTCTCTCTGCGTCGGCTTGCGGGCTTGAGGGCAGAGGATCTGCTGGAGTCTTGCCGTGAGTTGTGCATGTGCTTGTCATGCTGCCGTCGATGGTGCTGGATCCACGCTCCTTTCGCTCGTCCTCAGACCCTGTTGCTGTTGAGACGAGATGCATCATTTCACCTCTCCTCCAATCCCCATCTCTCCCCGAATAGGGCTCTCAGCAAGACCAGGAACATGTCCCTGAATCTCATCTCTTCCCGTGTCCAGATCCCCTTTCCGTCTACCCTTGCCCGTCAGCCTCGTGGGTCTTCAACCAAATTGCTAGACCTGGTTAGGCCGGATCTTGTGAAAGAGGCCGGAGCTGCCAGCTCCTTCCCGGAAAGGGATTTGGGGTTCCATCGATTGAAGCAGATTCCCCGCCAGCCTCTTGCTTCTTGCTTGTTCGAGCTCGTGCGGCCACTGACGCACGTACTGGTTCTGAGCTGCCCAGTGTCTTTACCCCCGCCTTGATGATGCCATGTAGCCACGATCATAGCGCGCTGCACGTTGCCTGGGCGTGAGACAGACTTTCATCGGCGATGGAATTTGGGCGAACGGGAAACAAGGAGGCTGGCGTTGGTCAAGGCTGGCCTGGGTTGTGTATAAGAAGGGGGTAATCCTGCAGAGGGGAAACATCAGCAACAAACATCTCCTCCTCAAACAACCATCCACCCGAACAAACCTTCCAAACACCTCCCAAACAATCACCATGTCCAACCCCGGTAACATCGTCGGTGGCCACAAGGCCAACCTCAACAACCCCAACACCTCCGACGAGTCCAAGCAACACAGCAAGGAGGTCCTCGAACAGGAGTTTGACGGCGGCAACGTCGACACCAGCTCTGGTGACAAGAACCCCAACAACGTGTACGTTCCCATGTCGTCTTTTCACCATCTTCCAATACTTACGACTTCGCAGTGCTGGCGGTCTCAAGGCCACCTTGAAGAACCCCAATGTCTCGGAAGAGGCGAAGCAGTCGGCTCAGGAGAGACTCGATGATATGTAGATGAGATACCATTACGAAGTCATGTGACATTGCGGGCGGTTATATAATCAATCATAGCCTCTCGGGCGATTTTATGTTATCCTCATCAACCCCCTTGTTGCATTTCTCAAGGACGAGAATCTAGTAGTATTACCACATGCAAATCCATCCATCGCATGCTATTGGATGCAGTCTTAATTTGGCAACTTGGCCGATGCTGGTCTTCATCATCGACATCCTTGCCCATTACCACAGTAAAGTTGTCATCAACGACATACACCTTGTTACTTCACCAACCGTCCCATCAGCGATCCTCATCACTAACATTTACTCATGCTGCATTCCAGCTTTCCATTTTCATCTATCTAACCGAAGAATGGAAATTGAAATTGTACGACGATAGAGTTTTCGACGTAATAGAATAACTCGGTAAGTATTGAGCCCTCGAAGTCCAAGGCATTTTTCTTGCGAGGGTCGAAAACAAGCAAAAACCCAGAAAAAGCATATTGATATATGTGAGGGGCCTTACTCGCCAACAATCCACAAGTAGGAACCTTGACCTGCCCAGGTCCTCCACAACAGCAGTCGACAAGCCCTCTCCTTCCAGCTGTCGACCTTGTCGACGTCGGCGAACGCGGTCACCCGAGAAAAACTCTCTCCTGCTGTTTTCCCAAAAGATTTCACACAATTGTCAGCGGTGCACATTGGAAATGGCCAGAGGCGTGATCGGGGGCCCGCATGTGTCGGCAGCCTTGGCCCTCTGAGGCGTCGGCCGCGCCACTGGAGCACCTCGCAATCTCAAAGCTGCAGCTGCTTCTCTCGTTTCCTTGCTCGCTCTGCCCGTTCTTGTTTCTTTCTCCCATTGCAGTCTGTCCGTGTTGATGACGTCGCGAGTCAGGATTCTGTCCCGAGGTGGGCTTCGCGCGCGGGCCCGGTCTGCTGTGACCGGACCCTGCAGTGACGAATAACTAGATATGGCGTCGACTGGTGACCAGAAATCGAAGAAGTGTTTTGATGATTGTCGTCGTCTGTGATCTCAATAACTTCGTCATCAGATTGCTTTGGCGGATCCCTTCCCGGACCCTGATGACCGCACAGCCCTATGGCTGACAACTTTCCCTCATGACGGACTGACATTTCCGCCCGAAATCCGTCCTTGATGATAACGACGACTTCGTCCGGAAGTCGCTTGAGATCGCGGTGTCTGAGGTCGATTGTGATGCCCCCGCGGGGCTGGTCCTGTGCAGCAACGTTGTCCTGCCCGTTGGCATCCTGCTGGGCAGCTTCAACGGCGTCGCGTGCGAGGGCGAGGATCTCCTCATCGGAGGAATCGCCTCGTCGATTTCCTCCCTCTACTTTTGCTGAATTCGCGAGAACGTCAGGACAAACACAGAAAATGATCTGCTTCCTTGCCGAAGCTTTATTCGAGCGAATCCTTTGTTGCTCCATCTACCATAGTGTGGGAATGGGGCTGCTGGGTAGCAGCCTGGTCCCTCTTGGGAACAATGACCGTCATGTCGGTTGGGACACTTCTTTCTCCTTTGGTGTCGAACTCGTGACAGCTTGGCATGCTGGTTTCAAACTCCTCCACGTGGACGATGGACCTGGTACTGGGCCTGGATGTTCAGGGTACGGGTTCACCCCATCAAGTATCCGTGGTATAATTGTTTGGCTGCAGAATTGCCGTTGGCTCGTCAGAAGAATCTATTTCATGATGCAGGCCCATGTGGTGGAGCTGAGGCGTTGCTCAAATAGGGTGAAGGTATTCATCACTGGCCCACGCTGCCGTTGCGCAGCAGTGTGGGACTGTTGGTCCCCTGTGGGAGATTGTAGACAATTTTTAACCGTTTAACAGTGGAAGAACTGCAACATGGTAGACAACGTTGAACCGCTGACGCGCTGCGTAACAAGATGTCAGTCCAGATGCTAGAGAGGAGTAACGGTAAGGCGTTGAGACTACTGAGATCTTGACCTTCTTATATGCGAAGGCCGGCCATCAAGTTCAGCGATTACACGTGACCATCGTGTAGATGGCGTGTGAAGGCGCAAAAACTCGATGACGGGCCAGTAGACGCGAAGGACAAGGTAACCATAGAGTAGTGTCTATTCAGCTGGCTGACAATATTGAACTTACCGACGTAGTAGGAGGACAACGGTATACAACGTTGGGATATCCGTGGGCCACATCTGCCTGTTGGGCAGGCAAAGTGGGGATTTGGGTCCACTTGCCTTTGTCGCGACCCTCGAGAATCTTGTCCGTGACCAAATCGATCTTCTTCATCTCCAATCCCTTCTCGATGAGGATTTGGATAGTGAGGGATTCCAAGCCGGGAAACATATTCGTGTAGAGTTGGAACCTTTGGAGGATGAGACGGTTCCGCTGCTCGACGGGCTCGGTGGATCATGGACCGAGGGTAGTGATGTCAGCGCAGGAGAGCCACAGCGCTCGTCAATACGAGCTTCTAGGTGTTCCTTGTTAGATAACCGTGATGAATCAAAGTGCCGTACATGGGGTGGCGAACGATGGGGACATACCTTGTATGCAACCGCAGCTGCTCGATGAGGGCCTACGACGGTAGACTTCCATCCCAGCATGATGTTGGCAAGAGCATAGTCTGAAGTGGTTGATCTGTATGTCGTAGAGGCTGATGTGAGTATGCGTCTGTAATGATGGCTCTTTTTGGGGGCTTGGTCGCAACCCGCAGTGGCAGCTGCTTCTAGGAGAGACCGTAGGGGACTTACATTCATCTGGCGTTTGTGCCAGCCTAGGAAGCAGTAAGAAACCAGCGTCAGTAAGCCAATGAGGCAAATGAGGGGCATGAAGGACGGCTTGCACGCTGGAAGGGCGCCAGGTGCGGGTGACGGAGGGAAGTCTGGCAAGCAGCGCTGGAGCGCAGAGCACAGCGAAAGCTGTTGCAGCTGGCACTCGCTCGGCATCAAGCTGATAATGCTGACAAGGGACTTAAGCTCATGCTTTGCAGGAGGGGGAAGGGGGATGAGATGATGCATGGTGGGTAGAGAGTTCTGAGGGTGGGAGAAGAAGAGGCGGAAGACTGGAGTTGAATTTCGGGAAGAACAGGCTCAGTGTGGGCAGAGGAGGAACTAGGCAGAACCTGGAAGGGAGGCGAGCTGCCCTGCCTTCCAAGATTGTTGTG